GCCAAGATCGGGGCCCCATCGGGCCGGGCGCTGCCAGACCCCAACCGAGATCAGGGCCCCGTCGTGCAAGGTGCTGCACAGACATAGTGAGAGACGCTCCCTGCCCCAAAGAGCTCCCTGTCTAAATAGACAAACAAAAGCTCATTAACTGCATGTATGTTAATTTAACAGATGGGGAAACTGAGGCACAGAGTGATACCCAAGGTCACACGATGAGTCAGTGGCAGAGCTGGGAATTGGACCTAGACAGAGGGTGGGAGGGAAAGAGAGTCACTCGAGGTCCTGTAGCAGGGCTGGGAACAGAAACCAGGTCTCATAAGCCCCAGTCTGGTGCCCGGCCCGCTAGACCACACGACTTCCCAGAGGCAGGAGGAGAACCCAGGCATCCTGAGCTCCAGACCACCCCGCTGCCTGGGGCAATGCTCAGCCCTACACAGCCATGGGGTGGGGCGGGGGATAGACACCCCGGGGCCTACCTTGGGAATAGTGTATCCCCGGAACTGGGTGTCCCTGGTCACCCGGCGTGCCAGGCCCATGGGGATGACGTCGCAGAACCTCTGGAACTCGTGGATGACGGCGTCAGTGTAGGGCATCTGGCTCCGGTCCTCCATGCTCGGGGCGCGGTTCCGCCCGATCACCCGGTCGATCTCCTCGTGGATCTTTTCTGTGGAGACGTGAGCACAGCTCAAAGGGGGGCCCGTGCGAATCCGGATTGATCCCGGGGGGAACCGAGATCAGGATCTGGCCCTGCCCCCACTGTCGTCAGGGGGTGACTCTGGATTAGCCCCGGGGGAACTGAGATCCGGATCTGGCCCCTAGAATTGGAATCTGAAATATCAACGCTGACCCGGCGTTCCCTGACCGTCGGCTTCCTTTGACTCACGACGGAGCGACACAGACCGGACTCAAACTCGCTGCCGAGCTGTGACTGTCCGGCCCCATCTGGAACTGGCGTAAAGGGAGGAACCGCCGCTGCCCTCAGCAGAACCCGGCTGATTTACCCCAGCTGAGGATCTGGCCCTTTGCCTTTCCTTTGTCCCCCCGTGACGTTGCACTCCATATGATTTTATGGAAATACGCTAATGCGGGTGAATATAATGTAACTGGAATATTCTTTATGCAAAAGGTCTCTTGTAAGGTATCATTACAAAGATTATAATCTCCTGAGTGTGGTCATCCTATTTGTATAAATGTACCACTCTTGTATCTGGGACTAGGAATATGAAATATAACTCTGAGGGCCTATTGTAATTATGCAAAGTGTGGGCCATTAATGGTGGTTTGGAATCTTGATGGCTCCCATTAACCAGGACAATTGACTGTGGATGGCTCTGTTTCTGGTCACTCAATAACAGACCTAAAAGGGGCAATTCTTCAACCAAAAAATTTACAAAACAGACTCCAACGTGAAGCTGCAGAACTGGAATTAATTTGAAAACTGGATACCATCAGATTAGGCCTGAATAAAGACTGGAGTGGTTGGGTCATTACAAAACCTAAACTTAATTTCCCCAATACTAATTTCCCCCTACTGTTACTCACACCTTCTTGTCAACTGTCTGTAATGGGCCACTCTCTTACCACTTCAAAAGTTATTTTTCCTCCCTTGGTATCCTGCTGTTCATTGATTTATCTCGCTAGACTGACCTCACACTTGGTAAAGCAACCCCCATCCTTTCATGTATTTATATCTGCTCCTGGATTTTTCACTTCATGCATCTGATGAAGTGGGCTGTAGCCCACGAAAGCTTATGCCAAATAAATGTGTTAGTCTCTAAGGTGCCACAAGGACTGCCTTTTGTTTTTGTTGATACAGACTAACACGGCTGCCACTCTGAAATCTGTTTTACTTGTAAGCCTTCCTGTGAGTCAGGCTGGGAAGATTGGAGGCCGGAGGTCTCACAGGACATGTGACCATGTCACCTGGGACTGGAATCCATCTTAAACCTGGTGCTTTTCCATTGAGAAGGAGGGGTGGGGACCCAGAGACAAAAGATTCCCGCCTTGTGCCAAAGCTATAAAAGGGGGTGGAACAGAACAAAGGGGGCTGCAGTCATGAAAAACCCCCTAGTTACCACCTGAGCTGGAGCTAACAAGGACTGTACCAGGGGAAAGGATTGGGCCCAGACTAGGAAGGAGTCTAGCCTGTGAAAGAAGCTTATTGGAACATCTCTGACGGTGAGATTTACCTGCATTCAGTTTCTTACTGTATTAGGCTTAGCTCAGTGGTTTGAGCATTGGTCTGCTAAACCCAGGGTTGTGAGTTCAGCCCTTGAGGGGACCACTTAGGGATCTGGGGCAAAATCAGTACTTGGTCCTGCTACTGAAGGCAGGGGGCTGGACTCAATGACCTTTCAAGGTCCCTTCCAGTTCTAGGAGATGGGATATCTCCATTAGTCTAATTTAACTTGCGTGTTTTGTTTTATTTTGCTTGGTAACTTACTTTGTTCTGTCTGTTATTACTTGGAACCACTTAAATCCTACTTTTTACACTTAATAAAATCACTTTTGCTTATAAATTAACCCAGAGTAAGTAATTAATTCCTGGGGGAGCAAACACCTGTGCGTATCTCGCTATCAGTGTTAGAGAGGGCGGACAATTTATGAGTTTACCCTGCATAAGCGTTATACCGGGTAAAACGGATTCACTTGGGGTTTGGATCCCGTTGGGAGCTGGGTATCTGGGTGCTGGAGACAGGAGCACGTCTTAAGCTGTTTTCAGTTAATTCTGCAGCTTTGGGGCATGTGGTTCAGACCCTGGGTCTGTGTTGCAGCAGGCTGGCGTGTCTGGCTCCACCAGGCAGGGTTCTAGAGTCCCAGGGAAAAGGGGCTCAGAGGTAGTCTCAGCACATCAGGTGTCAGTCCCAAGGGGGTCTCTGTGACCCAACCCGTCACACCCCCTTTCCCGTTACCTTCGATCTCCGGGTATTTCAGCAGGATCAGGAAGCCGTAGCGCAGGGTGGTGCTGACGGTCTCCGTCCCGGCGAAGAAGACGTTGAGCGCCGTCAGAACAATGTTCTTCAGGAAAAACTCAGAGGAAGGATTTTCCTTTTCCTTGAACAGAACGAGAGAAAAAAAATGCCAGGATGCTTGTGAGAACTCTGGGGATGTGTCTGGGAACGGAATCCGTCTGGGACTCCAGTACACTGCACAAAAGCCAGGCCAGCGCCCATTAGTGTGGGGAGCTGCACGGACCCTGGCTGAAATCAGGGCCCCCGTTGGGGCGGGTGAGAGAGTGAGGGACAATCCCTGCTCCAAGGAGCTCACACTCTCCATCCAAATTGTATAGGTGGGGAAACTGAGGTACAACACAATGCCGTGATTTGACTAAGGCCACATGGGGGGTCAGTGGCAGAGTCCTGATCTCCTGAGATCCAGCCCAGTGCTTTCCTCAAAGCCCGTTGTTCTTCGCTATCTGTGGGGCTCGACTTCTCTGCCCCAGAAGGTTTGAGGCCTGAACTGACCCCGTTACCAGTTGAACCCCTGGTTACAATCAGGCCGTTTGGTCTCTCAGGCCTGATACTGACCACGCTGAGCTGTCCCCTCCGGCTACGGCCGGTACCTGCTGCATTTTGACCAGGAAGCAGTCGATGAAATCCCGAGGGGAGTTGGGGTCCAGGGTCTCCTGGTTTGCCTTCACCTTCCTCTCCATGAACTTCTCCAGCCCCTCCAGCTGCTTGAACGCTGCGCGCTGGGGGCCGGGCAGGTAGCGCATGGTGCCCGAGAACATCTCGTAGAGCTGGGTGGAATGGAGAGCAGAGAGCCCGCTGAACACGGGGTGGGTTGAGAGCCAATCTGTCTGTCTGTCTATATCCATCCCCATCCCACTGACCTATCTATATCTATCCCCACACACACCCTCTATCTATCTATCTATCTATCTATCTATCTATCTATCTATCTATCTATCTATCTATCCCCATACACCCCATCTATCTATCTATCTATCTATCTATCTATCTATCTATCTATCTACATCCACTCATCTATCTATCTATCTATCTATCTATCTATCTATCTATCCTCCCCTGCCCAAACTGCAGATTTTCTAGCTGTTTCCCCCCAGCAATGTGACTGTCTTGTCCCCATTCTCTGGGGCTGATCCCTATTTCCGCCTGGGGCATTTGGCTCCCCTGGCGGAGCAGGAATCGGGGCATCCCAGTCGCCTTTCCCAAAATGCCTCTCTGAAAGACAGCCCCCTGCGCCGTTACCCCCTACCCCTGAGGCCGACGCTTTGGGGAGCTGAAGATCACGGCATTCCCCCGGTCCCTGCCACCTGTTCCTTGTGAGACAGGCACTATTTTCATTCTCGGCATTTCACCCGCCTTCTTCCATACATGACTGGTCCATATACCCTCAGTGGTGCTTGTATCCTGTCCAGATCAGAGCTGGGAAGCAACCCAGCAGGAAGCATAGCCAGACCAAGCAGTGCATGGGTGAGGCAGACAAACAGGGCTTCCTTCGGGTCCGGACGCTGGTCCGTATACACGCGCTAGTCCGTAGAGGCAGTTGTCATGCAGGTAAGCTGCCTCTTGTCTATAGGAGAAGGTGGAACCTGTCCTTAGGTGATCCTGTGAAGATCTCTGAGATAGGTTAGATGAAACTGGTCCATATAACTGGTCTCTACAGTGGGAGGTTGAATGGTTCCATATAAGCAGTCTCTATATTAGAAGGTACTCCAGCAAGATTGATTTGTCCATATAAGTGGTCTCTATACTATAGGGGAGTGCAGTGAGGGTGAAATGGTCTCTATGAGTAGTCCATATAACTAGTCTCTATGCAAGTGAGGGGTTTTGTGAGGGTGGAGTGGTCCATATAACTGGTCTCTATACATGGGGGAACTGTGAAGGTCTGTATGAACAGTCCATATAACCAGTATCTGCGAGTGATGGGGTCTGTGCAGGTGGAGCGGTCCATATGAGTGGTCCATATAACCAGCCTCTATGCAAGGGAGTGATTTCATGAGGGTGGAGTGGCCTATATAACTGATCTCTATACAAGGGGAGGCTCTGTGGGGGTGAAGAAGCAGTCCATATAAGTGGTCCATATAACCCAGTCTCTATGCTAGAGGGATTTGTGTTGGATGTCTGGCATTGGATAGCCAGTGTGTATGGAGAAGCAGTCTCTGTGTAAGGATGGAGCGGTCTGTATGAGCAGTCTATATAACCAGTCTCTATGTAGGGGTGGACTTTGTGTGGGTGGAATGGTCCATATAACCAGTCTCTATACAAAGGGTGTGGGGGTGGAGCAGTGTGTATGAACAATCCATATAACTAGTGTCTATGTGTGATGGGGGTTTATGGGGGTGGATCAGTCCATGTGCGTGGTCCATTGAACCAGTCGCTATGCTAGAGGGATATGTGTTGGGCATTTGGCATAGGGACGGGTAGGTTGTCTATACAGATAGGCAATCTCTATGCAAGGACTTGGATAGAGCAGTGTGTATGAACAGTCTATATAATCAGTCTCTATGCAAGAGGGGGTTCTGTGGGTGGGAAGAAGTCCATTGGAGTGGTCCATATAACCAGTCTCTATGAGACGGGGGCTCTGTGGGGTGGAGTTGTCCATTGGAGTGGTCCATTGAACTAGTCGCTATGCTAGAGAGGTTTGTGTTGGGTGCCTGGCATCAGTTCGGATAGCCAGTCCATATAGACTGGCGGTCGTTACACAAGAGCCTGGGGGCTCAGTGGGGGCAGGACAGTCCCTATCACTGGTCACTATAGGAGGGTGTACCTGGACGGGGTGTAAGAAGGATTTGAGTGGCAGCAGGACGAAATAGGAGTGATTTCTCAACTGGTCATTGTAATAATCACCACCTGTCTGGAGGTGAAAGGAGAAATGTCTCAGTCCCTTCAGGGAGCTGGCACTCTCCCTGTTCTGCAGTGAGAGAAACTGAGGCACACAGAAGGGAAGGGTCTCACTTGAGGGAGCTAGGATTTGAACCCAGGAGTCCTGAAGCCCACCCCATCCCCCACTTCAACCACTCTACGTCCCACTCTCCTCCCAGAATCTGCCCCCACATCCCTTTGCTCCCCTTCCCCTGGGGGCATCTTTCTTTCCGTCACACAGTCTGGAGCGGTTCACAGCCGTGCGGACGCACCTCAGGGCAGACAGGGCATGGGCCCCAAACTGGTGGTGAGTGTTGTAATCCAATTGTGCCAGCCACGTACCCAGTGGGAACCCCTCAGGCCCTACCACAGCCTTAACACAGAGTCACCGACAGTGCCGCTGGGCGCGCCAGTCTGTCTTGCCATCCAGGCGAGCCTGCCCTTGTGATAGATGGTCCCTTACACCAAAACTCGCAGCAATATTCAGGTTGCTCCCAGTCCCCAAGGCCTGGTCACTTACCCCAGGTCAATTGCACCTGAGATCTTGCAGCATTGACAACGCCTGTAGCCAATCCTGGAATAAACTAACTAAAGATTGATTCATTAGGAGAAAGAAATAGAGCAAGTGACAAGGTTAAAGCAGGTAAACACACACACACACACACTAAACTAACTAAAGATTGATTCACTAAGGGAAAGAAATAGAGCAACTGACAAGGTTAAAGCAGGTGAACACACACACACACTCACACACAAATGAGATACAGTTTTAGGTAGGGGTGCCAGAACAGGGGGCCTGGCCTCATCGCTTTTTATCAGGATGAGCGACGGAGGTGAGGGGGCAGAGAGGAGCGAGCGGGGGGCGGGGTCTTGAGGGGAAGAGGTGGCAGCGGGGCCTTGGGTGAAGAGGCGGTGTGGGGGCGTGGCCTCAGGGAGAAGGGGTGGGGCTTTAGGGGAACAGGCAGAACCAGGGGCGGGGCCACGGTTCAGGTGCCGATGGCCCACCCTCGTTTAGGAAGATTCCCCCGCTCCTGGTCTTCGGGTCCAGGACAGTAGCTGCTCTGATGTGCAAGCTCTGTATGACCTTGAGGACTGACCCAAGCCAATTACCTTGGGGATCCCTTGCTTATGCTTAGAAATACGCCACAGTTTTCTTTTGCTCAGGGATTTTTATTCCCTCCCCCCGGAGTTCAGAGCTGTGATGGGACGTCCCCTCTTTGTGGGCATCTGGGGAGCCCTCACCAAAGTCTTTTGTCCCCTGATGTTCCATAATGGTTTGTCTGGCGTCTGCCGGCCTTCTTGTGCTGGGCAGGAGTCGATGCCTCGTGGGGTGGACTGGGATTTCTCTCCTGACTCGGGGAGGGGGTGTCCCAGCTTCAGAGCAAACAGGTTTAGAGTTACAGAGCAAATATTTTAAATATTACCTGGGAAGGTGGGACACAGGTGTGATAAGTGAGATTAAGGCAGGCAGCAATTTACAAGCATTTTGTATTAAATCTGCTGCCTGTTTTACGGCTGTAACACACCAGTGAGCCAGGCTGGTTTCCAGCGACACATTTCGCAGTGAGGCGCGCTGGCACCTCCTCTGCCAGTGTCACACTTCCCTTCTTCGCGCCAACTGGCAGCACCCCATGCCCCCATCCCAGCAAATCCCCAGTCCCAACCTCCTTTCTGGGGCACCTGGACTCCTGGGTCCTGTGACCTCCCCCTGCTCAAAGTTACCCCCCTTCTTCTCAGACACCCACCCGGACTCCTGGGTCCTATCCTCAGAGATCATCCCTGGCCTGGGGCACCTGGATTTCTGGGTCCCCATCAACACCAAGGTCTCCTCAGCTTTCCCTTCTGAAATGCCAGGACTCCTGGGTCCTCCAACCCCTGCCCTTCCCTACCCCAATGTCGGGGAGACACAGGGCTAGTGCGGGGGGAGACACTCCCCCTTCCAAGGAACTCCCAGAAACAGGCATTCATGCACAGTCAAAGCACACACATAAAAAGAGATACCAGGGATTTGTGCACCTACAGTCGGACTCTATATACCCCCCTCACAAGCGGAGTCCAGAAACAGACAGACAGACATACACAGTCAGACGCAGAGCCCAGAGACAGGCAGTCTCACACAGTCAACAGGCAATCACACACATACAGTCAAACACAGAAGCCAGAGACAGATGGTAATGCACACACAGTCAGACGCAAAGCCCAGAGACAGGCAGTCTCTCTCTCTCTCTCTCTCTACTAACACACACACACACACTCAACAGGCAGCACTCACACATGCACACTTGGATCTAAGCCCATTGATATTTGAACTATGGGCCTTGAATTGGGCTTTGCAGTTTCTGTCCCAGGGCAGGACATCAAACCCCACAGCCGGTTGTATTATGTCCAAGTTGGCCTGTCACCTGTAGAGAACAGAACAGCTGTTCCCTTCCTCATGGGGTGGCCTTCCCACAAGGGTCCTGCTGTCACATGGGAGTAGTGTGAATTTCACATGGCAAAGAGATTTTGGCATGTTCCAACCAGTTGACGTCAGTTGGAGGAGCCACTTGTAGCTAGGGACAGAATCTGTGTGCAAATTACAATGCATCTGCGCACACAGCCAATACAGCATGTAGTCGACATCCCACCCAATATTCTCTGCATGTCACAACTCCGCCTGTAGTGTTACACTCGTGTGCAGAGAGAGTGTCTTGAGAAATGTAACTACATATGCTCTGAAGGACACACACATGTTCAGACTGTACCTCCACACCCTCATAAAGATGCCGTACTTACACACTGGCATGCTATAGGTGCACACCCTCTCTGACTGTAACCACTCGCTCTCTCGCTCTCTCTGTCACTCAAACAGTACCTATACACTATCATAAAAACACCTTCACACTGGAGCTACATACACTCATAAATACCCTCTCTGACTGTGCCTACATACTTTTGCACTGTAGCTACATCCCTTCATGCTGTCCTTACACACCTTTCCAGACTACCC